AAAAACTAACTAACAGGATCCAGCTTGTCAAATGTAAGAATTTCTCTTTTCATAAAATAAACCTAGATTTGAATTAAATGGATTCATAAAATGTGATAAATAATCAACAGATTAATGATGATCAAACTATTTATTTATTAAGCCCTAATATGCTATACTCATAATATTGCCTTTATTTTTATCCAATTAAGATGAAACCGCACTTTATAAAGAAAAACATCAGCAACCAACAACAAGGTTTTTTCATATTGCATATTCATTGCCAAAAATGACTTTAGATGATATCTATAAGTGAGCAGCTAAAGTGACAGAAAGACAACAGAGGGGAAACCACTCATGTTGAGCATGTGTTAGCAAGTGCTCATAGATATAAGGGCTGTTATTTGTGTCAGTCCATAAGGAAGAGCTCTGAAACACCCTCTGACAGAACACAAGCCCTTAAGGCCCGGACACACCAATCTGACAACAAAGAACTGACACAGACGAACCCCGACTGTTGCGTCGCCTCGCGTCTCTGCGTTTTGGCCATGTGTCGCACTGGAACACACCGCAAAGACTTCAGCCGACGGCCAAGAAGCACGTACGAACTGCGCATGCGTGAGTGGCAATAACTCTCCTTACCAGTAGGCGGCGGTAGTGTGTCATTCAAAAGAGGCAACAACCGGAAGACAGACTGCGTGATAACCGAGAGAAGAAGAACAGACTGCGTGATATAAACAAACAACAAATAGCGTGTGCGTTCCATTTTCACTCTACAACGAGAAGCTCATGGGGCTTTCCCAAACCTGTGTCGAGAGCTGGAGTTAAATGAAATCTCAGATTTGCCTTCTTAATAGTTTGTTTGGGTCCCTCACTTCCGTTTCGCTTCTCATGCACTGATTCGCTAGCTGAACAGCCAATCAGAGTGATTTCTTTTGCCGAGTGCCTTTGGCCGACTGCCCGCCGATTCAACAGTTTACGGCCAAAAAGGCGTCGGCACGGCTGAAAAGACCCGACGGTGCGGGACACACCAATCTGAGTAGGGCGTGTCGACGCTCATCGTCGGCCTGACGCCCACAAACACCGATAATCGGCCTGGTGTGTCCGTGCCTTTAGCCCTACTGGACAGGCAGCGACATTCACTGGGTAAGCCCCGGGAGCTGGCAGAGACAGAAACTGTGTGAGAGTCTGGGTTAGTCTGAGAATTGACAAGGGAGAAGCTCCATGATAGGCATAAAAACACTGTTGCTATGGCTGAAAACTACTTTAATAATAAGAGGCCAATTTGTTTAGTTTGTGTTGGATCTGTAAGCCTCAAAGAGAAAGCTATTGTGGAGAGCAATTAGAGTCATCATTGCAGAAAATACAATTATTATACAAACAAAACATGAATCACTATCTAAAATGAGTCTTCAAAATCATATATAAACCCAGAAGCCTCACAATCGGGCCCCACTAATAGCCTGGCAATGTTGTGCTTTAACACCATTAGCACACTACTTCCTCTAACGCCATAGCCCTCACCATCCACACTGCCCTCTCACACCTGGACCAGAGGAACACATATGTGAGAATGCTGTTCATTGATTACAGTTCAGCCTTCAACAGCATTGTGCCCTCCAAGCTGGTCATCAAGCTCAGAGACCTCGGCTCAACAGTGCCCTCTGTGACTGGATCCTGAACTTCCTGACGGGCAGACGCAAGGCAGTGCGGGTGGGAAACATCACATCCTCCACCCTGATCCTCAGCACCGGAGCCCCTCAAGGCTGCGTGCTCAGCCCTCTCCTCTACTCCCTGTTCACACACGACTGCGTGGCCACACACAGCTCCAACACCATCGTGAAGTTTGCTGACGACACGACCGTCATCGGCCAGATCACAGACGGCTACGAGACGGCGTACAGAGAGGAGGTCAAAAACCTGACATCTTGGTGCCAAGATAACAACCTCCATCTCAACGTCAGCAAAACCAAGGAGCTGATTGTGGATTACAGGAAGCAGCAGAGAGAGGGACACACCCCCATCGCCATCAATGGGACTACGGTAGAGAGAGTCAGCAGCTTCAGGTTCCTCTGTGTCCACATCACTGAGGACTAGGGATGTCCCGATCACCTTTTTTTGCTCCCGATCCGATTCCGATCATTTGATTTTGACAATCTGCCGATACCGATTTTTCCCGATCCGATCTTTATGCAATGCATTAAGAGAAAAAAAAGGAGAAAAGCATTCAAGTTGTCCCTTAAACCCCACGTTCTCCACCACAGATAACGGCTGGTCATCCAACGCGATGAATTCAGCTATCTTGGCTGTTATTTCTTTGGCCTTTCACTGTTCTGGGGCAGTTTCTCTTTCCTTTTAAAAGTCTCTGAAAGTGTCGGTTGTTTCAGTGCCGTTACCTGAGTGGCCGCTGTGTACTCGTTGTGTTGTTGTTGGTGTTTGTTTCTCAGGTGGCGTATTAGATTGGTCGTGTTGAACGTAGCTCTGTTCTTTCCACCACGTGGAACCTCCGCCTTGCAAACATTGCATCTGGCTGTTACACTGCCTTCGCTTTCAATTTTATAATACTTCCAAACTCCTGACATTTTCTCTGTCCCGACTCCCGAGTCACCAGCTGAACGTAGCCTGTTGTTAGCTTACTGCTACTATTAGACACTGCGCCCTGCCCACTCTGTTGCCAGATTTGAGAGAAATAAGCAACCAGGTCTATGAAAACAAGCCCAAAAGAAGCAACACATACATGATGTTGTGTAATTTTAAACCAAAACTAAGGCCTCAGGATGACTTTAAGACGTGAACATGGTCATTTTTGTTTTGTAACATTAAATGAAATAATAAAAATATTTTATATAAAAAAAAAAATTTAAAAAAAATTCCCGATCCCCGATTTTTTTCTCCCGATTCCGATCTTTTGAAAATCACGTGATCGGCTCCGATCCCCGATCACGTGATCGGATCGGGACATCCCTACTGAGGACCTGACATGGACTCTTCACACTACCACCATCACCAAAAAAGCTTGACAGCGGCTCTTCTTCCTCCGCAGGCTAAGGAGGTTCAACATGGACTCCAGGATACTCTGCAACTTCTACAGGTGCACCATAGAGAGTATCCTGACTGGCTGCATCACGGCCTGGTACGTCAGCTGCACCACCCTCAACCGTAAGGCTTTACAGAGGGTGGTGAAAACTGCACAGAACATCACCAGGACGGAGCTGCCATCCATGGAGGACCTTTACTCCCAGCGGCTCAGGAAGAAGGCCCTCAGAATTATAAAAGACCCCCCATCACCCCAGCAACAAACTGTTCTGTCTGCTGCCGTCTGGCAGGAGTTACCGCAGCATCAGGACTAAAACCACCAGACTCAGGGACAGTTTCATCCTACAGGCCATAAGACGGTTAAACACCTGAACTGTTGAAACAACATCCATAACATTCATCTGGCTGCTATTTAGAAATGTTTTATCTATTTATCTAATATATCATATTCCAATAACTTGTATATAGACTCTTATTGCACTTTTTAAACTATATTTATTTTTGTATTTACTATTTACTTGCACTATATGTTTCTGTTTACCTGTTTTATTGTGTTGCACTGTTGGAGGAGCCTGTGACCTAAGATTTTCATTGTCATAACTACACTGTAGCTATGTTCGTATGACAAAATAAAAACCTTGAACCAATATACATGCTGATAAAGCCAAGATGATAAATGCTGGGTCCAGTGGGCCAGAAGATCTATGGAGGAGTGTTACTGCCCCAATGCCAGATCCATATATAGCTGGACACCATGGGGTTAAAAATACCCAAACAGATGGGAGGGTTCACAGGCAAGGGGGGGGGGGGGGGGGAGCAGCCAGCACAACCAGAGATTTCAGAGGAGAGGAGAACTGCAATTACAGCTGTTTGCTAACCTCTGCCTTCTACGTGGTTAGCAAAGCCTTCAGTGGATGCCCGTTCAGAGATAATGACCTCGCTGGAGATACGATGTGGTGGAGATGACGCCAAGCCCACCCATCAGCTCCAGTAGGACTACTTAACTGGAGTTTGAGTTAGGCCTTGCTTACATCAAGGCATTACCAGAGAGGAAAAAAAGCTGCCAGTGATCAAAGAGCTACTACAAGTGGCAACACATTTATAGCTGAGAAAAGATGCATAGAGGAAAGTTGATGTAGAGGAAATGGCTGAGCAGTCACCTGCTGGCCTAGAATCCAAAAAGCAAACAGGCCCTGACATTTCATGTGGTTTTTTGCAGCCTGTTTAAATGCTATTTAAAACAGTGGCTTTGGGAAAAAAAAGGGATTCATGCCGACAAAACAAAAACACGCAGTAAATTATTGATTGCACATGGGGCCTGGAGTGAGCTTATTAGAAGGAGAGCTTCCACAAGAATTAAAATCAACTCCTCTGACTGAGGGAATTGTAGTATAGTATTAGGTAGATACACATTTTAAATGTTGGCTTACAAAGAATATTGATTATATTTTACAAATAGTAAAAGTCTTACAACATTTGTTTACCTCTTGAATGACACAAATTGTTAAGGCTGAAAATGTTTTACTTTCAGTTTGTCCTATTTTTTTTATATTCCTTTTTTTTTTTTATATACACACACACACACACACACACACACACACACACACACCGCTCAAGATATGGTTTAAGATATTATCCAAGTCTAATAGTCAAGTCTTCCTCACCGCTTTGATAAACACAAGCAGAGAATGGTTGACTCATTAACAGCCCATGGGGCCTAGCTGTGGGAGGAGGGGACAGTTCCTTTATACTTCCTGTGTCTGGCTCTCTTAGGTCAAAGAGTCAACTGCACAAGAGTCTGCTGCACATTTAAATGAACCTTTGACTGCTAGAAAATAAAAATAAGAAGCAAGTAGTAGTCTTAATACAGAATACAGGATGAAGACTGACATTGGAGATGTCCCAGAACAGTTTTGTGGTGCATACATGGAAGTGAAAGCTCGTAGACATTTCTGTTGGTTCACCAACCCTGAGGATGCACTTACCAATTTGATGGCGACATATTCGTTAGTATAGAGATTTTTTCCCAACCGCAGCTCTCCAAAGTTCCCGCAGCCGATTTTTTTACCCACACGGAAGTTCGGGCCAACCATAAGAACTCCAGAATTGGTCCCTGAACTTCGGCCCCCATGTCCAGTCCTGCTGCCTGTTGTCTTAGACATCTTTTTCCCTTCCTCTGTCTCTCCCTTGCCCCCTCTCTTTTCAAAATCCATAAGCTTGTGATACCCTGGCCTCTCCACGGTTATTCTCCAGCCATGCAAACCATAGAAACTCCAATAACAACGACAGAGGACGCTTTAGGGAGGGGGAGGGAGACAAACTCTCACAGGACAGAGGAAAGGTGTTGCTGTTAAAATGTGCAATGATTCAGAGGACACTTCAATGAGCTGAAGTGTCTATCAGTCGGGTCTTCTGCTGAGTGCTTCCCTTTTTTCTTTGGGTTCCTTGTTTAGCAGAGGGGTTCCTTCCTTGTGTGTTTCTCCAGCTCCAGTCTCAGAGTAGCATGTCCCTGCCTGAAGAATAGGCAGGTTGTCCTAGGATGTGCCCACAGATGCACATACAATTCTAGTCATAAAAAAGCACTCCGAAACCCAGCTACTGCATCCACAAGGACACTTGGGAACATCTCCTAGAGTGCCTCATTCCTTCTGGTCAGCCTTCAGTGACACAGTGGACGCTCTCCATGATGCAGGGCCACAGCAGACAAGGCAACCCAGAGGCAGAGAAAACAGCTGGAGGAAAGACCGGTAACTGATGGGTCTGATGATAGCTGGATATCTGAAAAAGCAAAAACAAAGAGATATCAGTTAGTACTCTGTATAGCCTGTTACTACAACAAAGATCATAAAATACACTCCAAATAAACTCTATCATTACTTTTTCTTAAAATGTATTTTTTATATTAATTGACTTAAAAGATGTTCTATATATTTACTCACTTCAGACAATATATTCTGTCCTGTAGCTATCCCCTTCTAGATTCATGACAAAAAGTCAAACCGTATATAAGCATAATCTGGAGATTGTAAAAAAAAAAGCCAAAACTCAAACCATTATTTGCTCTCATAATACTTCTGGCCATGTGGACATAAACAATATATATATAATAAAACTTTAACCTTTGACTTGAAGATCAATGTATGTCTACTATGGCTGTTCCTTACTACAGCTGAAATTAGATCTTGCTTCAGACCGGCACAAGGTTAATTCAATAAAGCAATCAATAGGAGCAGAAATATTCCACAGTGGACCTCAGGTATGAGAGGAAAATAAATCATCTAATTTTTGTAATGCCCAAGACACAGAGCCTATCAGTGAAACTCTTGTAAGCAAGACTAAAGTGTAAATTAATTGAAACACCTGAGCCAAGTTTCAGGCACAATCCTCAAAAGCTTTTGCAAAGCTCCAAAATGTCCTACTTACTAAAACAAATAAAGGTCAAGAAAGTAACAGGATATGATTCTAAGCCATACACTATTGTAGGAGCAATGCAGGGCACAAACAACATCAATCAAACCATCATTTCAGTTTTCATTAGCAGTGTAACTTGACCTTCTCTGTGCAGCTTTTCGCTAACAATCACATGCAGACATATCTGTCCAGAGCTGCTCTCCTAACTCCCCTATGTCCATGATCTAAGACGTTTGGTGGAGCAGGTAATGCAAGCACTAGTACTGGGCAGCTACTCTTTCTTATGGAAAGGCACTTACACGGATCAATGACTGCTGTAATGCCCCATCTCATCATAACATTTGCATCATTGGGAAGCATATTATTGGAAGGATTTGGATACAGTCTGGTCTACAGTTAGCAATGCTGTAACTGAAAGACTAAAGACTAAAATAGCCATCACAGGTCAAACATACAGTAATATGAGATGATTTAGCACTGGTTTATGATAATAAATAGGTATTCAAAACATTGGAGTTATAGTTTTCTGATGTTTATCTGTGATAGAATTTGAGAGTTGGCTTTTTTAATGAGAAGGCAAAACTACATAAATAAAATAAAAAAGAATAAAAAATAGGTACCAATGTCTGACGTTTAGTGAACACGGGCGGGAGTCATTTCATTTCCTGCGTAGAAAACATTCTACCTTTCGTCAGCAACTTCTGACATCTATGTAAACACTGAATCAGTGGTGCCAGACAGGAGAACAATTTAATATATCCTTATAAAACCTTCATCCCTGCCTTAAATTAGACTTACTCTTTAAGTTCTAAATATAAAAAGGAAAAACCTATTTGACATGGTGGCAGGTGACCTATTTTGTTCCCTGCCACAGCCAACATTTCCCCTTTATTTGGCAGGTGCTAAGAAGATCATTCCCTAGGTACGAGTTCATAAAGAATGACACAACGATTACAAATACACTGAGACGTTGAGTATGTCTGTACTCTTTCACTACTGCAGTCAGCCTGAAAAAAACACACACATTTATAAACCAAGTATGAGGTCAATCATTACACTGTCATGTCTTCCTTGAAGCATGAAGCATGACGCATGGCGATACTTACTGTAGAAATAGGAAGAAACTAGCCTACCTGGTCACAAGATTTGGAAATGATCACAACAACTGAAATGCACTAAGACAAGCACCTGATTTGTCAAGATGACCCAAAAAACAATTCAATGCTTTTAAAACAAGTATGATAAAGTGTTAATATAAGAAAGAATAGTGATGGCCCTTGAAAAAATGAAATAGTTCACTGTCTCAGTCTAGAAATGTGGGCCACCATAGCGAAACATGTATCTGGCTGATTTCAGGAAGTTGAGTATTGTTTTTCCTGTCAGCTGTTTGATATAGATACAATGTTATTTTTAACATGGTGAGATGTTTTATGTTCTTAGTTTTGGGATGTCACATCAACTAACTGACAGAAAACCTGTGAATAATGCCTCACCAAACGAGATCGGTTCGTTTCTCACATTATCTTGCCATGAACGTTGTAGTCGATGCAGTTAGCTTGTAATAACACGACACAAGACGAATTCAAACGTTATAAATATAAATCGAACAGCCATTAAAGCTGTTATAGACAAGTCTTGGTTGATACATTTTCATTTCCGTGTACAGAAGATCTGCCCTTTGAGCTTATATTAATGCTACTAGTAGCTAACCGAATAACGTCGGGGTTGGCAGCTGTCATTTAGCGCGTAACGTCAGTTTAAATACAGCCGTTTTCTCTCTAAAGCCCTATGTTAGTTTTCTATTATGAGATGAGGTCTTAAAAAACGAATTCACTCCTAAAATCCGTCAATGGGTGTGTTGAGAAGGGTTAAGTTAACATAGCTGGTACGACGGACAAGGCCAGATACTCTGAAGTTAGCAAGCTTCAGTTAGCTTGATATCGTTCAATCGCTTGCTTCCGTTTAAACGTATACTTATGGTAGCTACATAAAACAACACTATCGGCACATTCTCCTTGAGTAGACGTTTATTCTATCGTTGACGCTTAATCGAAATGTCACATTAGCAGTGATAAGCTAACCGAGCTAGCACCTACCACAAACACCGTTCTTCTTGGCCCAACGCCTAATAAAAACGATGTACCATCGGCTAATCTGTTAACAACACTTTACCTTTTCAAACACAAACTAGCTAACCGTAAGCAAACTGATGCAAAGGGAACAAGTCGAAGCAGGAACGATCATAAAATATTCATTGATTGACATTCGCTGTGCTACATTAACATGGTCAGTTAGTAAACGCTTATTAACTGAGAAATAACAACGTCGCAACTACTTAATGCCACAGATTGTATGATAAGAGGGTTAGTTGTTTCACCTGAGAGTATTGGTATTTTTGGTTCAGCTCCCAGCTGTAAGTATTACCCTGACCATTGCCTGCCGGGCAACTCCTTAATCCAGAACAACCGACTGCACACCATCGGCAGCCCGGATCTCTTACCGTTTAGCTTTCTAGCTAGCCATTTAGCAAGCTAGCCACTGAAACATTAGCAAGAACGCTAACGAACGGCGGGACGGTGTCTTGAAAAAACAACAACACATTTATGTCGCTAAAGGAAAGCGTGTTACCTTTACATGTCAGCTACCAGAAGGCATTCGAAGTCATGGTTCATGGTGTGTGGGTATCCTTCTCATTTCGTTTCTCTAGCCTCTCAAGTTGCTATGATTTTGCTGTTGTCTCTTTAAGCCTCCCTCCGCTGCCCGATACCCAGGCAGGCACAGCGTCACGCCGGCTCACAGCTCACACCACCGCGGTACGCTGAAAAACTGACGCAACTGGTTTGGTGAATAAAGCAAAACATCAGGCGTGAGTAGCTCATTGATTAGCTGCTGTGAGCTGGTCAACTGAATATACAATGGTGTGCGCTGGTGAAAGTAACTAAGTACATTTGATCAAACAATTAAGTAAACTGTTGAGGTACTTGTACTTTACTTGAGTATTTTCATGTTATGCTACTTTACTTATACTACAATTCAAAGGTACCCAGCAGTGAATAAAGTCATTCAAATGTGTTCCACCTTTACCAGCTTGATAAAAGTATCAATAATTATAACCAAAACATATAATATATATATATATATATATATATATATATATGATTTTGGGCTAATCTGCATATTCAGTACTTTTACTTTTGGTAGGCTACTTTAGTATATTTAGATGCCAACACTTAAGTATTTGTACTTTTACAATAGTAACATTTTGAATACATTACTTTCACTTGTAACAGAATATTCCTACACTTTGGTATTTCTGCTTTGACTTGAGTACAAGATTTGAGTACTTCCTCTACCTCGGATGGTGTGAAAAGACTCACACCACACATCTAAATTGGTATAATTTAAATCTGCTAATATGACTAAAATAAAGGGAGTATATTGTCCTGAATGTAGTGCTTGTCAAACATGTTTTTGCTACAGGTGTATACAAATGTTGACCAGTGGTCAAAGGGCTAGAACATTTACTCATATCTTATATTTAAAGTGGCAATACCACAGTGTGTAGAAATACAATTTTGCACATAAAAGTTATCCATTCATTTTTTTAAGTAAAGCTATTGACATCAAGATAAACTTAAATAAAGTACCACAAGTAAATGTAGCCTACTCACTAAACAGAGTATATATATTTATAATATATTCCATTAATATTACTTTAATGTTGTAACTTGTAAAGGGTTGGATCATTTTTAACTACTGGTGAATTGACCCCCTGGGCATTAATAAAGTGTTATCTTAATCTTTAATGTTAAGTTATATTTTATTTGTTGATTTAATTATGTAGTATTAATCTCAATCTGCAAAATAACTCATACCTACAGATATCTAGATATAATAGTATAACTAGTATAAAATGGAAATAATCAAGTAACAAGTTAAATTGCAGTAGTTAAATTGCATTTAACTACAGTACTTGATTTAAGTCTAAGTCAATACTTAATTCATGTTACTTCTGCTGTAATTTCATTCAGTACCTACTTTGTCATATTTTGAATACAATTGTATTTGTACAACTGCAAATAATGTCATGCTGGCATAGGACCCACATCTGGAATTCTGATGCATAATTTTAACCAGATTCATTCAACAAATATTGGAGTTTATTTATGTGCAAACTGGAGATCTCACCCTTACCAAAGTGACATTTTTGACAAAACCAAATGTAGTGCTTTGGGCTACACATCAAACTTCATGTAAAATGTGACAATATAAACTGCTCGATGTTGTCAATGCTCACAAATTAAAACATTTATTTATATCCAAAAGAAGATCAGGCCTCATATTTGAGCTTTGCAAAGTGGTTGAAATCCTAATGTTGATACAAATTGCAGTCTAGTAAATATGCAGTCAAATATGTTAATTTAGTAAAACCCATCATTTTGTCAGTGCTGCTAAACCAAAAACACAAATGAACCCCCAGAGAATTCATGTACAAATAACTTTATTTCACATTTGTATGTTTCTGTGCCTAATTACAATGGGGAACTTTTCTGAAATGCTTTAAAAAGGATTATAACTGCCGGTGTAACCAGCTAAATAATACTGAAGGTGGCAAATATCTTTAAATGGGATGTTCATGCTGCTTGTGATGAATAAAGAACAGTCTTGTTGATGCAAATTCGCATCAGTTGCAACCAACCTGTTGATTTTAATAAAAACAGACTTAAATAAGACTTGGAAATATGTGACTGTACAGATGTATTCCCTTTAAACAGATAAAATAACACTCTAAATTAAAATTGATATTCTGTCAGGTTTACAGTAAAGTAAGTGCTTCTCCACCGTGTCTCTCCCCACGCAGGAGCAGAGATGTCGGGCTGGAGGTGAACAGGTCTACATTTACAGCCCCAGGTGAGGATGAGGAGCTTTAGTGGAGCACGCAGTCTGAAGGGAGAGGCTACAGTTTTTAGTAACAGAGGGCGGATGGACCCCGAGGGCAGAGCTGTGCTGTAAGATGGGCCAGAACACCGGGGGGAGGGCCAGCTCCGTGGACAGCACTCCTACAAGGGGCTGGTGAGGAGGCTGGCTGTAGCACTCCCTGAAGGGGAAGAGTGGGGGGGAGTGAAGGCGGAGGGAGCACCGTGAAACATCAGAGTCTGAATGTGTGCGAGGCGGACAAATATCCCTGCTTTTATCCACATGAGGAGGAGGAGGAGGAGGACAGCGATGAAGAGGATGATTGTCTCTGTCAGTGTGTGATGTGGAAATGTCCTGTTTGTCTCCGGTCCTCTCTTCCTCCTGTCCCCCTGTGCTGCGGTGTGGCGCCTCCTCCACACTGTGGTCTCTGGAGAGCGGGGAGCACCTCTGACCTTTACGGTGTTTTGCCCTCCTGTTCTTGAACCACACCTGGACAAGAGAGAGAGTAAAACAGCCACGGTAAATGTATGTTTATGGCACACTTCATACACAAGGTAGGTCTAAAATGCTTAACACCTTTACACATTCAAAAGAAACAAACTTTAGAAGACTGACTTAAAATGTGAACATCTAGAAATGTAGAGAAGATAAAAGTTAAGACACAAAAACTAAATAATTCCATGGAAACTTAAAAGGGAGCCAGAAATAACATGGTTTTAATGCTTTTGAGCAACCTTTCACTGTCAGCTTTCATACATTTGTTACCACATGAGAAATTGTGTAAGATAAGGAAAACAAAGTACTCGTGTAAAATGGCCTATTTTAGAATATTATTGGATTAGAAATATTGATGCAGAAATGTGTTTATCTCTTTAGTGTTGCTGCTAAAGGGTGTTTTAATTCCTTTATGGCTTAATCTATAATAATACATCATCATGTATTACCCTATAACTTGTAGTCGTAACAAGCTTTCTTTTTACATATGTAGTGAATTGTAATTGCCATTAGAGTAGAAATAGAATACAAATACATGTGTACTTTATGTAATTGTCACCACTTCAATTATGTACAAATGTGCTACTGTATCATTCCTTGAAATGAGTGTTTATTGATAACCTCCCAGTTGTTTTCCCCATTAGAATTACACTTTAATATCAATATCAAATGGTAAGTGCAGCCTTTTATTACTGTGTCCCAGATTCAAACAAATGTGCATTATTCAGCAGGTCTCCAGTCAGGTGTGTTGGGGGAGTGTGTGTTCACCTGAATGCGAGCCTCCGGCAGGTTGATGCAGACAGCCAGTCTCTCCCTCATGCTCACGTCGGGGTACTGTGTCTGCTGGAAGGCTTTCTCCAGAGCCTGCAGCTGCGACACTGTGAAGGCTGTGCGGCTGCGGCGCTGCTTCTGCTGGTTTCCATACCGAGCCTCCAGAATAAGCTCTGGGCGGGACAGAGAGAAACACAAGGTTATCACCAGAGTCACTCAGCAGCAAGTCCTCTCCAAAAACACTATCATAGGGAAGTGAATTCATATTTTCCCCACACTTGCATGTTGTTTTTCTTTGAAATCAGGGAAGTTTGACATGATTTTTATTGACTTTTATATGCTGAAAAATTGAATAACAGTAGCTTATTTTATAGGCTGGACATTGTATTTGATGGATTCTAACAATGAACAGTGGTGGAAGAAGGTTTACATTTATGTGTTCATCCCTTGGATGTTGCAGGTTAAGGTTTGAATAACTCTAATTTTCTTATAGTTCATCTTTTAAAATCATATTTTGTGTTATTATCCAAAAATAGTCAAGTAATTAAGTCCTCAAATAAATGTAATGACAAAAAGTATCAGTTATGCCACTGAAATGTATCATTAGCACAACATATTTATACTTACAGTAAGTCAAGTATCTCAACATTTTACTTAAGAAAAGTATATTTGTCTTTTGTCTTTCATTTTTGTAAAGCACTTTGAATTGCCTTGTGTTGAAAGGTGCTATTTAAATAAACTTGCCTTGCATAGTTAATGCAAACTATTGATAATTTAATAATATGATTCAATGTGTTATAATCAATTGTTTATATTGTGATCATCAATTTGACCATGAACCCTCTTTCACCACATCACTCTGTATACATAAGTTATGTGCATATACAACATAATTCTAGGAAAGAGAACATGTGTTTTAAACTGTTAACTAACATTTATGTTCAAGTGTTCAGTCCTTTAAAGTGTTGCAGAGTTACGAAGACCCACCTGCCAGTCTCTCGGCCACAGACAGGGTGTGCACCGCGGGGCTCGCGGCAGAGTACACGCGGTACTGTTCCGCCATCTGGTGGCGCAGGTCGAACAGCATGGAGTTCACACCGTGGAGAGGAAACATGCCTCCACCGCTGGACGTCCCGCAGAAATTCAAGGAGTTCATTTTAAATCTGAGGAACAGGAATACTTATTTAACCGACTGAAGAGTTCATCAGCATCTTAATATACAGAAGAAGTCATTAAAACGTGTTCATTACAATAATGATCTGCTAAGTGTATGGAGCAATAACTGCAAAATGAAAATGAAGAAAATAAAGTTATTATAGGGGGACCAACATTATGTTTATTTCCCCCTAAAATGTAATGATCTATTCTTCATCTTCCTTTACTTTTTCTTAAGCGGCTGTTCGTGTGATTTTGTCAAACTCGAGATTCAAAACATTAAGTTAAATATGAAATGTGATTATTATCATATGTCTTACGGATTTACTCTTTCACAAGATCAGCCAATTTGACACATATTATGCAAGCTATATGAGGAGAGGCAGCATTTTGAATCCACATATTTCAACTTAAAATCGGATACATTTGACATCATGAATTCGAGACCCTTCTTTCAGATATCTTTTTAAATTATAAAACATATTTGGAAACGTTTTCGGTGTGTTGTTGCCTGTGCTGTTTACCTGAGCTCCGGACGGTGCAGGTGCGCCTTTACGCACAGAGGTCTGGACCCGGTGAGCTGTGTAGTCCAGTTTCTCCTAGTCCAGTTTGGGCCTTAAATCCTCACACAGCAGCGCTCTTTGTCGTGGTACGGATCTATTTCTCCCAAACCATTCTCACCCACGACTATTTAAGACGCATTTACCCAGGCTCCCCTCAGCCATTAGCCAATAGAAAGAAAGGTATTAGCCGGGATTAGGTGGGATGAGGGAAGAGAGGGGGGTTGCGAGGAGCTCAAGTTTTTGAAACTATTGAACTTGAGAGATTTATGCCAAGGATCCCCCTATAAGCGAGCGTTTCATTCCCTCCCGTTAAAACAATTAAAACAATGTGGTGGGCTAATCTCCGAGGCAGGACAGATTAAAATAACAGCCTTTGATTGTGCTCTGCTTCTCAGCCCCTTTCTCTCAGGCCGCTGGTTTTGACAGTCTCCCCTCGGTGGGGGTTTCTCTGAGGGTTTGTTTTGCTAACAGGCACCATATTTTGCCCATAAACTGTCACCATGTGAAGTTAATCTCAACCTCCTCAATGAGAAGTATTTCTTTATAAATGCTGCTGAGATAATTAGAAGTCTTCCCAGGAACAGAAAACAGGAAAAACATGAAATCTTCAACAACATGAAGTCCTCTAAAGGGCAATTTTATCATCAACATTTTCATCACCATCAATTCAATTTGTTTTAAACAATACTGCAGAGGTGGAGGAAAACTAGCATTTACTTGTATCATTAATAATCTGTTTATACACCAGCCCCAACTACATTTATTTGATCACTTCATTTACTAGTTATTGTCTGATTGTGATTTGTTGTGCAAAAATAAAATCAACAAATAAATAAACTGTATTATTGTAGATTAAGAAAATACTAACCCTTCTCCAGGTGCAGCATTAAAGCAATGAACACAGTAATGCATGAATACTTATAATAAAATATATTGAGTATATTTATCTGTAAAAAGAGAACTTTGAGACTTTTGATACTTAAAGAGTATTTATACACTGTGGTATTGTCATTTTAACGTACGTAAAATATCTTGGCACACTTCTTCCACATAGTCTAACATCAACATTTGTACAACATACATCACTATCTATCACAAGAACCTCCATTTGTATAAGAAAAAAAACTCTACGACCAAAAAGAAAACTCTAAAAACGGACATGTTGATATTGTTCAAATGAAGGAGAGCAGAATAATTGTTAGTTTCAAGGTATTAACTTGTCAAGTTTTCTTGAAATGTTATTGTATTCTCTCAACATAAGAATGGAAAGTACACTTTGCATTGGTAAGAAAATGCTCTTCAGTGAGTAAAACATAGATGATAAATAAGAGGCTACAGGTACATTCCTCCATCACATTCCACTGCAAATAAATAAATGGCTTGTTTTTGGTTTTAATAATCACAGATAAACATGTGAGTCGTCTTGACAGGTGTGTACTTTGAGGCTGCGCTCAAAAATGTGTGATTCACTTCTTCCTCTCTCACAATCAACTGCTCAGACTTCCAAAATATGTGAAAATGTTTGTGCTCTTTATTCCCCTTGCTTTTTTTCTTTCCTCCTCTTTTGGCCGTTCTTGGCTGTCAAGCTATATTAGTGTCCGATAGAAATAAGTCATTTAGAAGAGGCTCTGTCGGCCAGCCCCTCAGCCCCACTAAAAGCTCCAGGATTAGGTCCCAGAGGCCTTTGTCTCCGCAGCCCGCAGGATTAGGGGAGATTTACTGCGAGCAGAGAAAAAAAGTAGTTATTTCATGGCACTTTCATGATGAAACCTGGCCAAAGCTGTGTTGGCTGGGGGGATTAAAGGCACACAAAGAGTGTGGTTGTGTGTGACCCTCCCCATTGCAGAGCTGCCACCACTGACTCACTCAACACCCCCTCCTCCTCCCTGGATCATTTCCCCTTCTTCAGGGCATCACCTCCAACCCTTCAAGACGACCAGGGTTCACAAATGAGAAATGGCCTCTTAAAACAGCCCTGTCATCCACAACTTGCTGACTAAATGAAGCTAGCTCAGAACATCATCATTTTTAATTAAGGTAATCAGCAGTTTTGTGAATTCAAATCAAAGAAACAGGCCTCGGTCTAGTCACCAGGATGTGAGGGTTTTGCATTAGAGCCTTAAAGGTGCAGAGGTAAATGAGAAGTTACTGGATTTAAGTCCCTCCTGTAGTGTTAAAACAGCTTAAAGGGAGTTATCCTGCTCTTAGAGGATCTACTTACACATGCATGGATTACAGTGAATAAAAGACAAAAGGCCAAGTCACATCACTGACAACAGTCTCACCGCGGAGCAGGTGGAAACTCACGCAGGTTTAATAACTGTTGTCACATAGCAAGAGGGAATTACAGTGAGAAAATGACAACGTGAATAGTGACCGTCAAACATTCAGTCTTTATCCTTCTTGATGGCAAATAACATGAAGTTATTAAAGTGCAGCCTTTAAAGCCCTTTCTTGTATATTTCTGAACTGTGGTAAACATAGTCTGCATGTATTGCCAAACATTTGATACCAGGCGCTGCCTTTAATGGTTAATGAATCATTTACTTCAGTTATAACCAACAACTTTTAGGTTGGCAGGTTTTTAAAAATCTCTCTCCTGGTTTGACCTAATTGAACAATACACCTGCAGACTTAATTATTCAACCTCTGTGTAAATGAATCATTAACACTTAAATCAATATGGCCTTGATAACTTACTAGACATGAGAAACTAAGAGGCATTCATTAAAGGGTGAACAACATTATTTTGTAGAATATTACAAACATATTGAAATGATATTGATTTCCTGACACCACAAGAGCCAAACAAACAAATTAAATCAATCAAGGCTGTTTCTAACATATATGTTCATCATTGATTCATCTGGCAATAACTCATTTTAGCCAACTCATTTTTGGCTCATCACAAATGTATGAAGCCCAAAGGGATGTCTTTAAATTCCTTTTTTCACACCATGACCAGTCACAAAGCTCAAAAATATTATTAGGTAGTTTATTATCAGAGGAGACTAAAAACACCAGCAAATGTTGTCATTTTATAAGAAAGGTGATTGGTGTGGGCATTTAAAAAATGGCTGGTTCCCTTTTGATCAAGAATCAACTATTCATTTACGTTTGGCTATAAAATGTGTTATAATTTGTATTCAGTGTGGGTGAAACCTTTATCTGAGAGAAAAGATGAACAAACTCACTTAAATAGTTTTCCAATAAATCTGATCTGAATTCCCCGTCAGGATTTCAGCTTCGGGTCGTCTGGCAACAAGCAAACATTATTACATTGTGACAGAGTCAGTTTGTGGTGTAAAGTGAAGTCTAACCTACTATGACTCAATGTGTAACTTGGAGAGTGTTCTCAATATTTCTACTTTAAGATCACATAAAACAAAAGAAAAGCTTTAAATCCTCACAATGGAGAACCTGGAATTAAAAATGATTTTCTATATTTGCCTGAAAAACGACTAAAACGATCTGCTGATCAAAGCTGCCATTAAATGTTCTCTACATAGACTAACAACATCAAGTACTGATATGATATGTTATAATTTAAAGTGTATTTACTAATGGGATTTGTATTGGATGAAAGTGAGAGGCAGTTGAAGTAAACGAGGCTGGGGGGGAAGTTACTTTTCTTTTCTACTTTTTCTGTCACTAAGAGGTTTTTGTTAATGTCTCCTGTTTAACAGCTGTTTCAGAAAGCAATCCTCCCCTTATGTTCAGGCTTTCTTTAATTACTTATCAATAGTGGAAATTTGTATTGACAAGGGCCTGTCCGGAGGGGACCTTTGTAGTTGTCAGTTATCTCAAAGGAAGGCCCCCCTCTAACACCAACCGGATCGATCGGCATGCCAAACACAATTGAGAGGCCTTCAGGGGCGCCGGTGATAGTCCGGGAGCATGTGGGCCGAGGAGCGGAGGGCTGAGGGTTCTTCATCGGGGGGGATCGATAGGGCCGGCTGGCCTTTGACCTGGGGGAGGCCGGGGGAGCGGGCGGCGGGTCACTCGCTCCTCTTAAGCCCCAGGATCACGCTGTGAGGCCTGACACTGGCTATGACACACTCAGGGCTTAGAGTGACATTGACCCGGCTGCAAACACACCAAGTACACACAGAAGAAACCTCAAAAACACACACAACTGGCGCTGGTACAGAGAGCAGAGTTTAGACAGGAGGATCATTTTAAAAACCAGTCAGATAATGTTGTTCTGAATTGACTGTGAGATATAAACTAGACTTCATCAAGGAATTATTAACTTCCAATTAGCTTCTTATGATCTCCGGCCCCTGGGAGCCCTGCTACAGCAGGAGATCAATATGAAGGACTGAGGGAAGATCAGTCTCTTAATTGGAGAGAGTGCTATAGATTAAAGACGGAGAGACAGGGGGACAGGCAGCTGCGGGGGTCCCGAGGGTCAAGGGCACCCACAGTGGGCCGGACTGAGGTGTTAGGGGTGAGCTTGGACCAACAGACCCTGACCTGTTTAAGCCTTCGTCTTTCTCAGCACCACCTTTAAGACCCAGTTATAATACGAACGGTTTAAACAGAGATTTAGGATTGAGCTTCATCCAAACTGAGGAGGAACGAGGTGACAGGAAAAAGGAGACAAGCCAAGTGCAGAAGGGTGAGAACATTTAAAGGGTAAATATATGCACAAATACTGGTGTTGCTTGAGAAACAGAAAACCCTTTTCTGAATTTGATGCCTCCCATTCCTCTTTTTTGTATTATGACTAACCTATTTACCCTTTTTGACAAGTTCTCATTCAATGAGAAATGTACAGCGCTTCCATTAAGTTAATTAAGCATGCAACAGATTGAGAAACTTTTCTTAAAATAACTACTAAAACTCTGAAAAAGTTAGACAAATAATCCGTTAGTGGCCGACAATTAATCGGCAACCATTTTGATAAGGATAACAAAAGCAGAAATGGACACCTGCAGGTTCGAGCGGCATTTGCTGCTTTTCTTTGACCTATGTGATAGTAAGAGAATTATCTTGAGTTTGGAGCGGACTTTCAGTATATAAAGACATCTGAATATAACACTTTAGAATCTGGGAAATTGTGACATTTGTATTTAATTTTAGACAAGATGATTTATCAGGCAAATAGTTGGAAATAAATCAAGAAAAATAGAAAAATAAAATAGTCATTCGTTTCGAGATGAAAGGTCTATAGTCCAAATAAAAAGGTCAGCTTTGAGTCCCAGGTGACGTCTTCAAATGTCCAAAAAGCAAACATTTCATATTAATAGAAGACTAAGAAGGCAAGCAGCACATGAGGAACCAGAATGAAAGCTGTAGCCAGGAAACTTCTGGCATTTTTTGCTCAGTTGAATGATTTAAGGATTAATCAATTATCAAAAGAGTTGTAGGTTTATTTTCTGTTGATCTACCAATCAATTAATGGACTAATTGTTTTGGTCTGCAGGCGGTAAGACGTTTGTTTGCTCCTGCTCTCACTGAGATAATGCAGCTCTTCATCTCTCAGCATGGGGTCAGTTTAGGAGGCCCCGGCCTGCAGATTCCCCCCTCGTGACCCCCGCTAGTTAAAAGGTGATCACGGGGGAGAGAGAAAGAGAGGCGCTGATCGAATTTGATAATGAAGACGACCCCTCTAAGCTGCTTTGCTCCACATGTTCAAAATCTCTGCAACACTCGATAAACACTAGGAAGCCCCCCTCCCCTGTCACTGGAACATTGTGTAGGTATTGATCCCTAACTGGCTCTTTTAATACCTGGGGTCTGTGGCCCGGCCGGGGGAAATACATACTGACATGTGACGGGAGGAGCTTAACAGGCAAACACACCGAAGAAAAGATGGGCCTCTCGGTTTAGCATTTCTCTCCCATTTTTTCTCAATTTACACATCTGCTGAAGAAAGGAGAATTACAGCCACTGCACCTGCTGTTAGAAAAAGGGACATATAGACCACAAGAGACCCGGCACTGTACCGAGAAATAGCTGTCACACTGTCAAAAACTATTTGTGCAGCAGGTGGAGGAAGGATTCAGATCTTTTACTGAAGCCTAAAAGTAGTAAATACAACTGTTTAGAATATACTCAACAAGTAAAGGTTCTACAACAAAGGTGTAATCAGAAAGATATACACTAAGTAATTTGAGAGCACTTTATTACTCAGAAACAGTTATTGTTCTGACCATAAGGCTTTGAACTCTTCAAAATAACTTCCTAAAGAAACATGATCAGCATTTTAGTGGACTTCCCAGCAAGAAAAGTGAAACCCCTATTTTGATGTAGTTTGATGAAACACATGATTGATACCTGTTGTGTCTTAAACATCCAAAGAAGAGTCATGACTTGTGTCTTTTCAGAATTATAACAAAGATAACCACAATTAGTTTGTATCAAATCCAGTTATTTAAAATGTCACTAAAATCTCCAGAAGATAACTGTAAGACTGTAAATCAATAACAAACGAACTTTCGAAGTGAGAAAATGTAAAACAGAAAGCAGATCTGTCTGTATTGTTTAACTTAACATCTTTATTGTATTGTATGTTTTATATGAACTGTTCACTTAGCTTTTCCTCAGTTAGTTGTACATTTTAACAACTCATATTTCAAATAAAAATAATTAAACTAAGTTCAATTAACTCCAAACACCAGGGGAAATTACATTAGTTTGAACCATCTTTACATTATTTACAGTGTGTACATGCCATGGGTTTTTTAATCTGCAACTGATAAACTGATCACGTTTTGTACGTAAAATCTTACTGCGTCAGATAACCAGTACTGTCAGGTAAATGAGGTGCTTTCAAAAAAGTCATTTTATTTGGAAGTGTAGTGGAGAAGAAATATAGCGTGACAGAAAATGGAAATATTTGTAATAAATTACAAACGTGTGCAGTACTGGAGAACATCTACTAGCTGTTGATGCAAAGACAGGGCAACATCTTCTTTTAACTAATATCTTTTAATAGAAAAAGATAAACAACACAAATACAAAAGGAAACGTAGCGTATTTACAGCACTCGAGTATTTTTTTCAGTCATTTTCAACATAAAACAGCACAGGTTAGCTGGTACTCGCTAAATGAAAGAAAAGTGTCTGCAGTTAATAACCCACGTCTAATTCAACAACACTGAATCTAATGTATGTGTTTATGGAGGAATAAGTTTATACCTGCTGTCACAATGATTCCCGTGGCTTTGTTTCATGCAGTGCACATGACTGAGAATATAGCATGGATGTAATTCGCCAACTATACCACATAGGTAGTAAGCAGAGATTTTACACTTCTGCTGAGAGTTTATATTATCAAGTATTATAGGATTCAGAGCCATCCAACAGAATGAGCTTGATAAACAAAAAAGTTGTGAGTAACAAGTGCATTTACATAGCAATGTTGGACAGACCCAGACATGAACGCACTTAAGTGTAACCAAGAACAGGTAACATGTAATTCATTAAGTGAATGTTTTTATAACACAAATGAGGTACTCATAGACTTGGGCCCTATACAAAAAGAGCATTTCTATAGTGCAATTTAGGCTGAAGATAGCCTGGCATAATATTATATTTACCATTTTTGTTCGGCGGACAATGCCCTGGCATTTTCAGGTGTTCTTTTAAGGAAAACGTTTTATTAATTAATGATTTGAGGCCTTAAAAGAGACATGGCTCAAAATAAAACAGAAATACATTTCAATTAACATTATTTAGAAAAAGAAATACAAATAAGCAAATAAACACTGTTAATTTGGGCTCCTATTGCTTTGAAAAGGGACTGGCAGTTCTCTTATTCAGTACGATAAGCAGCAACAACAAACTTTAAACTGTGTTGAAAGACCCCCCCCCCCCCCGACACTCTGACCTCTCCGAGAGCAGGTGCAGGACTCCTGGACTCTCCGCTTCCCCGACACCGACATGAAGGCAGGAAGTGGAACTGAGGAACGTGGAGCAGAGGGGTCAAAGGTCATCTTTTGACCTTGGCATCCTCCTTGATCCTCCACAGCATCAGCTCCAAGCAGGCTGACGCATCTTCACTGGAGTCGTGGCCGTTAACTGGAAACACATCAAACAATATTAGCATTTTTTTTTTTTTAAAGATTGATTTGGTCAAACAGTGCCATTATTGTAGAGAACCGCAATGCGGCAAATGGTCTCGGGCCGGATTAAAACCCGGGTCCTGATGGGTCGCCAGCTCTACCAATTGAGCCATATGACGTTTGGCGGCCCCTGTGGTAACCGCAGGTATGATTTTGGATTTTTGATGCTTGTGATTTTTCCTGGGAATGTTGCCACAGACACCAGTTAGTCATACTGCTAATTTAAGGGCTTTGGTCAGGGGGCCATTGGCTCAATCACCATTTAATTACCTAATTTGAAGATGAAGTGGCTAATCAGAAATGTATGCAGAGGAAAAGTCAAGAGTTCATGAGAGAATCCGGAGAGACCTAACACTGATTTCCCTGGCATATAGAGGGGTAGAAATGGCAACACAATTGCTTCTCTAGGAATCTTTGACTCTGAAACTGTGTTAATTAGTCCAAAAAAGATTTTAATGTCGAAGCAGGAACATAGTGACAGAGAAACAAGACATTTCAAAGGCTTTGAGGTGTTTCAGCAAACAGGACCAAAAATGGGTTTTAACACTGTCGACCCGTGTGTGACATCTGCTGGTGAAAAGGATGCAGTGCACCTACAGTTTAGTGGGCTGCACTGCATAAATATCAGCACCAGAAATAAGAAAAAGTAATTAAATACAGCCAGGGGTCTTACATTATTTGAGCCCCGGCCACTCAATTGAGAAAACTCTATTTGAATTTCATTTACTAAGGTTTATTAAAAATGTTTTGTTGAGTCCAAAGGTGTTTCGGGGATTTTTTCTGTGAAATCTTAATACATTTTTATCTTGGTAGCTGCCGATGATGCACATTACACATTGGGCTGCACAAATAAGCCAATGATCTCCGTCTTTTTTTTAAGTCTTGAACACGCCTGTCTCCGCAGAGAGGCAAATGTTGTGAAAACAATGTTTTCTGCAGGGGGCTAACAGGCCAAACAGCATTGCCTCATGTCTTTGTGTCATTTTACAGTCAGTAGAGTTAGGAAGAATTATTTGTTTTGTTTACTCTTTTTTAAAGTGCAGTGTCAACTAACATGTCCAAATTGCATATCTTCACAATAAACCAGTGTTCTTGTTTATTACATTTCTTTGTGTGTTATACTTTTAAAAAGTGGAGGGGACAAAAATAGCTTTTTCAAAAAGTGGTGGGGACATGTCCCCAGCGTCCCCAGCGCAAATGACACCTATGCTGTTAGGCATATTAATTTAATAAAATAACAGGTATAAGGTGTTTGCAGTGGACAAAAAGATATCTCCACATAAAAGTGAATGCATACTAAAACATGGTAATAAGAAACTTCTGTGTTTTTTTCCCACCGTTGTCCTGGATGATGCGTTTGAGGTGGTCGGCCATGAGGTTCCTCAGGGCTCGTTTGAAGGGTGCACCGAGGCGGTGAGGGAACACAATGGCCGTGTCTACTACTGTACTGTGGATCAGCTGCAAGCAAGAGAGACAGAAAGAGACGTTAGAGCAAGAGTTTCCCTTTTATTTCAGCCCAGGCTCAACAGCAGAAAATCATGATCTCAGCCTGGAAACAAAAACAATAACGACACCGAGTCTCCCTTTAAAGCAAGAATGTTTTAGAGCTACCTCCCGATTGTACTTGAATATCCCTGTTCTGCTCTGCCGCTAACATTATGGCTGATTTAATCAATTATGAAGTAAAACCTTGAATTTCAACTTTTGCCATTTCACAGGAGAGTAGGATCTATACCTGACTTCTGTTATTTCTTTAGTTAAGTTAATGATCAAATATTGAAAGAATCTTTACTTGTTTACATGCCCACATTTTGTCCTCTTTTTATTTGCTCACATAAATTCATGCCATACTCTTAATCAGTTAGGAAAGTTTGTAATCCTTGTTGACGTTTTTTATTTAAGATAATTAGTTATTGGGACTAACAATAAAAGTTATAAGACTAGAAAACCTGCTTTTTAAATGTTTACAAAATGAATATATGCCTCATAAGTGGTAATGTATCAATCATGCTTTATTAAATAACGGACAGTTATTCAATTTTTAAGTGAAAATTAGGGTGTGATGGAATCCAACGGATGGTGGTCACTTCTTTCTACGTCGCTAAAACATGAACAGCAGAGAGGGACAGAAACAACATTTTAGGAAAAGCTATGATTGCATTAATCATTTAAAAAAAAGGCAGCTTAATGAAGAGGCGTGCACCTTCAGAGCGAGCAGGTCGCTCTCCAGACTGTGTCCGATGAGGATGGACTCTGCACTGAACATGCTGAGCAGCACGGCCTGGACATCTCTCAGAGTGATGGTGGCGTTCTCCAAGTCCTCCTCCGTCACACCTGAAAATCTGTGAAAGACACACATATATCATTATTTTAAAACACTGCAACTGTTTCAAAGACACTTTATTTACAAATGACAATCACAAGAACTCTTTACCAGTCAAATTCAATAGCCGATGCGACCCATGCAGTGTGTAGTTGTAGGAGACAAACTCACCGTGTGTTGTAGTCGACCACTTTGGCTTCAGGTCTGACAAATGTGTCGTAGATGACTTTCATCTCAGAGTCGATGACGGTCACCCTCGTCAGATCCAGGCCGTGCCTTGTGTAACACTGTTTTGGAGGATGAAAAGAAAAGTTCACGTGGTTTTGAATAATACAAACTATATTAAAAGTTGTGGCAAAAAGGGAGATTTTTTTTTTTTAAATGTAATACTGCTGGGGAAAAAGATGATGCACTGTGTGTCTCTACAGGTCTTATTGGTATTAAACTGGCAATAAATAAATCAATTCTAAAATGAAATGCTCAATTAAGATTGCAATTTGAGCCGGTGGTGCATTTAGGTAACAGTTGTTCAGTAGGTAAATCACACTCTGTCTGACTCACCATCTCACAGTCCAAAGCGAACACTCCTCCATTTCCGTCTGGTGGCAGAGATTTACTAAACGTTGTCACGTAGCCGTCAAATGACTCTTTACGCCCGTCCTGAACGTGTTGCTGTAGGAATATGAAATGTCTTAAGTCTGGGGAAATGTTTTCAAATCTGCTGAAACGTACTCAAAATCAAGAATAAGGTTATTGTAGGCATCATCCTGGCAGAGCTTGGTTGCTTGAATGCTTAGCAATGTGTCCATTTGTCTTCAGTCAAAAGACTATACTATACACTATAATTGAAAGCAAAGATAAAAACATAAAGCCTTGAAGGGGAAAGAACACTTTTTTTTCATATTTTCGATAAGCCTGAGGGATACATACAATCTTTTTCTTATAGAGAAACAAGAGATAAACATCTGTGACAGTTTAAAAAAAACATGGCTTCACTAAACTGGTAGAGCTTTGGTACTCTTCCTTAAAATTGGTAAAAAGGTACAAAAATGTCACGTAACTTTGTTCAATTATATGTTTCAGAGCAGTTTACCTTACAAAATGCCCCATTGTATGTCTACATTAGCCATCTAAAGCCATGACAGCCCAACTCAATTCTTAACATGCAAAGAAAGTAAAACAATTGCTGTTGACTTTAAGGAATGATACCTTGCAAACTTGGCAACCTGGAGCACCGACACCTGCAGCGCAGCAGCTGTAGTTTGTCTCCCAGCCTCCAGAGACTGAAGGAGGAGAGGGAAAGAATGAGTCAGACAGAGGTACATAACAGTAGATGAAAAGAGGTGGTGAGTTAGATAAGAAAAAAAAAAGACCACATTTGACTTCCATAATATTGATCTTTATACAAGATTTACACAAAATAAATGCATACAAATGTACCTTTGTGTCTGCGCAGTCGCCCCCAGTGAAAGCAACACTCCTCTTTCCGTACACAGTTGCCGTGGGCATTGATCTTATACTCGGCTCCGCATCGACAGCATATCTTGTTGAAGGCTGGAAACACATTACAGGGTTAATTAAGAGTAAATCGTTGCTAGACCACTTGTTTTGATGTCATTTAGTATGGATCATTAGTAGAGAATGCACCAATTGAGGTTTTACAATACAGTTCTTTTGCTGTTTATAATTTTCTTTCATTTGTAAAAAAAACTATAATTGATAGCTCATTTGAAGCATATTTCTAACGTGTTTTATATTTAAACTGCATCATAATACTAAACCATTGTCTTTTAAATAACTGACATTATAGAAAACTGCACAAATTACATGGCGTTCAAGTTGTCTGAACCCAGTTTAAAGATGTTCCTCCACGGCTAATTTTGTACTTTCAAGCATTTAAAATCACTTTGTCTTCCCTTGTCACACAGTAGAACTTTTACAACGACTGCATGATGTGTCAGAGGAGAACTGGCAGGATTTTGACAGGTGCGTCTCTTTATAGGTGAGAGAGCTGTGGGGTCACTCACGGTCTGTAACAGCCTTCTTCTCTGGGAGGTTGCAGATGATGGCTTTTCCGGAAGCCTCTGGGCTTGTCCTCGGGTATCCGTTCTCCTGGAGCTGCTCCTCACTCATCAAGTACGCCTGCAGCTTCCTGTACAGTGTGACTCCTACAGTGAGACAGCAACAAGTTCAACTAATGTTACCTTTGTAAGAATATTAAAAAAGCTATATTGTACGGTCATGGAACAGACAGTTTTCTGTAAACAGGACCCTGGAGGTTCTCACATGGTTATTGGAAAAGTTTCCCTGTTACTCTGAACTCTTTCAACACTTCACAAACAACAAGAGTCTTTCAGTTGCTTCTCATTATTTTCTTCCTTTTCTCTTTCTCAATCTTTTTGATCAGGATCTGCATTTTTTTGTTGTCAAGGATGGGATCACAAGATTGAAAACAACTGAATGACATGAAGAAACATGTTCAAGAAATATGTTCAAAACTATTCTGGAGAAAGAGGCCTGAGAACAACACAATGGAAACATGTTTCTGCCTGTCATCTTTACCAGGAAAACAAATCTGACTCACCAATGAGTTTCTCTTCCTGCTGTTTACCCATCCTGTTGATGGTGAAGCTAGTTTTCGCAGCAAGACGGCCTCCGAGAAGGTCCTCGTGGGACAGAACCCTCCTGGAGTTAACTGACCCCGGGTCCTCTTCAGAAAGACACACAGAAGACATAAAGTTACCACTGATATGTTGTCTGACCACCAGATAAACCAATATTATCTGTTCAACTGCTCAAAACCATTTCCAGCTCATTATGTATGCAATTATCACAATATACTGCATTTGGCCCATTTGATCTAATCCCTAACTTACAAAAAGCATTGTGTAAACGTTGAGTCAGGACAAATACTGAATGTTATACTGGACAGGGAGTGAGGTGGCTTACTGGTGACCGCCGGTGATGGACCGGAGCTGCTCTTGCCGCGTAGCTTCTTCAGAGTGTTGACAGCTATGTTGAGGTAGATGCTCTTACTGTTGCTGCGATCATACACCAGCTTCTCCTCGTCAAGCGCCTGAAACAGTCCAAACTTGATTAAATGAAACCTTTATTGAATCTCCTTTTCATTCAAGACAGTGTGTGATTAAAGCCAATAAAGAGCCATCTTTTTTTAGGATCTCTTCAAACCTACCTATAGTTTAAAAGATGTGTTAGGTTTGACGACAGAACAGAAAACATCATACTCTGGCTGTAAATAGTGGAAAGTGATAATGCATACCATTTGGAAAGCAGCACCCTTTGGTCGGCAAAATTTGACACATTCGTCTATGAAAGTGTTGAGGTAGCGCTGCCGGACGTTGTTTGGAACTTTGGCCCCAAACTCAATGGGGATGATGGGGCGCTTCATAGAACTACTCTGAAAAAATCAAAACAGAAAGACAACATATGATGAGTAAAACACATCTTACAGATCAAGCAAATAAATCTCCCTAAAGAAGCAGCTATGACACAAAACAAATATCCAGAAAAACAACCAGCAGCATTTCATTTCGCAGCCTTTGGATACCTTCATGGTGGGGGTGTGTGCCACCCTCTTCTGCATGATGGTGGACGTGGTCTTGGTTAAGATGCCCGCGGTGGTTTGGGGCTTCACTTGATGGGTCTGGCTGGGGGATAACACTCGACTGGCAGCTGGTCTAACATCTGCAGGACCTGGTGAGACAAACACATGTGACTTTCTATTTGAAACAGTGAAAACAGATCTACTGAGAAAGGATCAAGAGAACACATGCTAGAACTAAATCCAACTACAATATACAGTAGAATAGTGGAGGTACTTGTTTTGGAGGAAGTTGTCGGTGGGAAGGTACGGTGGGCTATTCTCTTCTTCTCTCCAGAGACGCTGGGAATGGAGCTTTGTCGGGAAGCTTTCACTGAAGCAGAGAGCTGAGCGGCTTGCTGCTGCGCCATCTGCATACGCTGGTAGCAGACCGCCTGGGCTGAGAGTCTCTTGTTTGGTCGAGCAACAGGTGCGTCAGTCTGATGAAAAACACGAGCACCTTTTATAAAGAGTGACTGCTTTGGCTAAGAGACAACGTGTCATGTCTTAACAGGGCGATGATGTTCTTCTCTCGAATTGGCTCTGAAAGAATACTTATATAACACCAAAAGGACATAGCATGACGTGCACTCTAACTCCAGCCAAACTGTATTGCTGTTATTCATTTTTACCTTTCATTGTTGGTAATTTTATATGATACTAAATTAGTGTATGTGTTATAATAATGTAGAATATATTGGCCCAACATTGAGATTTCTGTGGAAATGTCAGTAAGAAAGTATGGAAAAATAAAAACTGAGTTTATGACTCTGAAAAGTCAGGTTATTCTTTGGTTTTGAAATTGAAGTTTGCCTGTTAAAAACCATACTGTGGTGTGCTGTAATGTAATGGTACAATATATGCTACCTCCTATTCATGGAATATCTGAGTATGGTAATGAAGATGTGAATGGAAATCACTTTTGATTAGTGTGATAGAGTTCTTCTTCAAGTGTTAATAACCAAACTTCTTCTTGACCAAAACTGCTTAAGGAATCTCCATTTCCTTATACTTATTTCATTGACCAAATTAGTACATTTGTACATTCCCTTTGTGATAAAGTCACACTCCTTGAAAACAATTACTTATAAAACATTGTAAAAAAACGTGTTAAACTGCTGTACCCTGTGATAAGTTCTACAACACTGGTAAACATATTGTGTGTTCACTAGTGCTAACCAAATGTTATTTCATAATTGAAAGTTTATTTTGGTGACAAGGACAGACCCTCCATCGTATGTAAGAGAGTTAAAGAAAGAAAGTGAGACGGGGAAAGAGAAGGTGGACTGTTGCACACAATGTTTCTGTAGGTTATTAATAATAACAATAATTAACCAAATATTTACGTTATGAATAAAGCTTCCAACTATTCGCTAGAGCACAAGCGTTCACGCCACCTGATGGCCTTGTGCAGTATTGTGGGACAGAAAAGTCAGGCTGAAAGAGACAAACATACACTTACTTTGGCACCAAAATGGGAGACTCTCTTCTTTTGACCGGGAAAAAGAGTGGTTAAAGTGCTCTCTGTGTCCCCTTCCTCGTCTGAATCCCTGTAGGGCTGAGAGAGGCCACAACATAGCATTAGCAAAATATAAAGATGAATGAAAATAAAAAACGGTTTGTGGTAAATGAAAAAGACAAAAGGTGCAAGTGAATGGAAAGAAATACCTGTTTAGCCTGCCTTCCCTTGTCTTCCGTCTTCACATCCTTGGATTCATTAAAGATCCGTAAACACTCCTCCATGGGATCTGAGTCAAAGTCCAGATCCTCCTGGAAACTAGAGAAGTCCATTTCAACATCGTCCACCTCGTCCTCCCCACCCTGGTCCCCTTCATCTTCAGAGGAAGAAGGCGTCATCTCTGACGCTTTTCTCTTGTTCAGGCGTCCCCTTTTCAAAGCATCTGCCGATTTCCTCACAAGCACTTCCTCCTCATCGTCGTCATAATCGTCATCATCATCATCCACTACAATTGCTTCAACCTCATCTGGACTCTCATCTCCAAACAGATCAGCGTGGCTATGAGTCGGCTGTTTCTCTTTGGGTTTTTTCCCATTTGATGAGCTGCTGTTCTGCTTCAGCCTATCTTTATTTATTGCTGAAGTCCCTTTACTGTGACTACCACTGCTCCCACCAATAGAACTGCTTTTATTCATTTTCTTTGTATCATTTTCTCTTTTACTGCTATCAAGTTTACCATTTTTCTGTTGGCGGTCCTTATACTTGTTGTATTCCTTTTCCTTCTCTGATATCTTGGGTTTTTTGCTTTCCCTTGCACCATTTTCTGTATCTTTATCCCTTTTGCAGGAATCAGTTTTGACTTTTTCCACAGCTTTGATCTTACCATCGCTTCTCATTTCCTCTTTCCCTTCCTTCTGAACTTTATTAGGTGTTTTAACCTTAATGATGTTTTTCCTATCGTCTCTTTTTTCCTGACTCTTGTTCTCCTTCTTTGCAGAGTCCTGGTTTGAGTTCTTTATTGACCCTTTGTCTTTACTGCTGCTACTGCTACTCTTACTACCAATCTTTTTGTTAGCTTCCTTTACGAGTTTTTGCACTTTCTCAGATTTGCCAATTTTCTCGTGACTAGTTTGACTAGCCACCTTCTTTTTCTCGAAACTGTCTGTTTGTATAATAAATTCCTGGACATCTGAGTCGGAGTCCTCTTTGTTCCTCTGTGTCAATGCATTTAGCATACTTTCAGTTCTCTCTTTTCTCTGCTTCCCACCAGTGATCCAAAGTGACCCACTGTTGCCTTTTCTCTGCTGGAGATTGCTAAGCGACGTGGGTCGATACTCTGTGCCGGAGCTCTCCTCCTCAGAGTCAGATATAATGTATTTTTTAGAGTCTATACTCGGCCGGGGCTTTTTGACAGCTACAACATACTCCTCGTCTGACATTTCTGATAGTTTGTGTGTCTTTCTTTGCCCCATCTTAACAGCTTGTGTTTTCTCGGGCCTTTTGCTTTTCGCTGCAATTCCTGACGAATAGTTGGACATTGGGTCATACTCCATATCTGTAGTTGGTTTTAAATTGTCCAGAGTGTATTTACACTTGGGGGACGATGTGCTGGTTGAGTACTTTGGACTATGGGGAGGAGAAGGGAGTTGGTGTGTGTTTGTCCGAGATGAAGGCTTTCTCACCAAAGCAGGAACATATTCCATAGAGTTGCTATTTTTCCCCTGGTTGTCGAAATCCAAAGTATACTTGCTGCAGCCAGGGGTGGGATTATACCCCCCTGATGTCATCTGATAACTCCCAGGGTCATAAGCCATATGTGATGGCGGTTTTTTTCTCTTAACAACATCAGACGAAGACAACTTTTTACTCTTGCTTGGTTGGTACGGTTCATCCCCAATGCGAGAGAGCTTCCTCTTCTCCCTCTCCACCTCGCTGCGGACCTCCTCAATGGCCTTGTTGACGAGGTCCAGCGCACCATCGAGGTCTCCTGAAGGAGCCGGCTCTCCATTCTTCTGCTCCTGGGGCCTCACCACTTCTGGGTTGAAGGGATCATAACCTTGTTCTGCAAAGATGCAAGACAGACAGGCTTAATAACATTGACCAAAAATAAATTAAAAAGGCCCTACTCATTAGCTTTCATGAGTTTTAACAAGGGATGCGCGGTTCTGGTCTGGTCTAATTTTTACCTTATTGATCGGCAAACACATGTCTAGGTGTATGAATCAAGAGTTAAAAATGTATGTAACAATGCTTCCCTACTTTCCACCACATCTAAAGAGCATCGTATGAAGATGGTATGAGCCAGAGAGAGTTAAATATATAACACAATTGTGCTCATATGAGATGATAATCAAGCATAGACAATTAATGTTAAAAAAAAACATAAATGTCAATAAACCTACAACTATAACATGCTCAGATAGTCTATACATTTTATAAAGAGGAGTATAGTTTTTGGGACCAAACAAAGCAGATACAGTTCCACTTTAAATTGTTTATTTGGATTAAGATAATTTTGTAGCCCAATAAACTGCACTTGATCCTTCAGTTTCGCAGAGGAGGATAACAATCTGAAGACAAACTCATCAAAAAAAGAACCTAGGTCTAACAGAAAATGTAGTGGAGTACAAGTATAAAGTATTATTAAATATATTTATCAATGAATTATTTAAAACTCAAAGTACCTAAAAGTGAAGTATGAAATGTACCTAATACAACCACTGGTATTTTTTTTTCTTAACTCTGCATCAGACCATTAGTCCCTTTGACACTTCCTTGAGTGGCCTCACTACACTTCATCTTGCACTTCACATCAGTTTACAGAAACCAGTGGGGGGGGGGTATATTAGTAAAGGTGCAATGATTCGTGGTTATTGGCACAGAAATACACTTTTACACTGTTATCAGTTCCGGCATATTTTCCAACACTGTGGTCAAGTTCTCATCGCTGCCGGCTCCGCGAAAAAAGAAGTTCAAGTAAATTCTGGATTTAGTAAAACAATACTCAGCACCTTTCTGTGCGGAGTGGAGGTCTCTTTGCTTTTTAACATCTGCCGGAGCTCCGTAGGACGCCCGTCGCTGCGAGCTGTGTCTGAAGTGACAGTACGGTCTGTTACACCCATTTTTGATGCCTTTTTCCTCGCTGTATTCTGCGTAAAACGGGCAGTCAAGCCCCCGGAAGAAGCCGGTGGATCTTAGCATTATCGCAAGACGTTGCTCTCATGCCCACGTGAACACGCTCGGTCGTGTATCTGCTCAGTTTTTGTTGTACTGAGAGAGGTGGAAGAAGAGACAGAACAATAACAATGTCCCTACGACGCCATGTTGGATTGCTCGGTGAGATGAAATCTCGCGTGAATTTACAAGTGTCGCGGTGTTTGACGTCACAGTTGGATCACAAATCAGTGAGCCAACCACAACTTAACATTTATACTATCGAGCCCAAACATTTGTACTTAACATGAGATGGCAGTTCTTTAGTTCGTATAGCAGTATTTATCAAGAGTTGACTATCTCCTTTCAACGTTAGTCATTGTCATTACTGGCCTCTTCCTAAACACTAGTTTAGTGTTTATTAAGTAAGTAGAAACACATGTGTGTGCTCCTCATTGTGAAACTAGCTCAACCAGATTTGCAAAATAAATTAGACAAGTCTTTCAACATTTTATTTCACAGGAATTCAGTAAGTAGGCTACTTGGTCTTGAAATGTCCAGTTGAAATGGCCTGGAAAGAGGAACAAAGATACATCTTGACATTTTCTGACAGATGCTGACTAGCAAGAAAACCACAGGTGTATTCAGTAACCATCATGATAGCTGATGGGTGGTCGGTGATATTGTGCATACTGGTTCACTCGCACAGTTAATTTGAATGAGCCATCTTGATGTTTAATTGTATTCATTTACTTACAAACACACATTTTACATTTCTGTAAATGTGCCAGTGTTAGCCGGCCGGCTAATCTTCAACTGCAGTACTTTGGAGAGTTGTTCTGAAACTTGAGTTGACGTTTAAAATGTACAGAAAAAGACTAGATAAAGAAGAGAAACATAGGCATTTTCTCAAGACCGTGCAGTCGCCCTGCAGAGAAACGGGAAGAAGTAAAAATCAACACTGTTAGGCAATACTGAAAATAGACAAAGCAGCAACGACAAATATGATCCCAACAATCATGATTAAGGTCTTTAAAGTAAAAAAAAAAATGCAGTTGCAAACAGGAAAAAATACTGATACGTCAATCATTTTAACAAATATTTTCCTACTATTCAAGTCCAAATGTCTGCTGTTAAGAGGTCTTTATATAAAAGAAAAACAGTTTGGGATAATTACCCCGCATTGCTGAGAATATCAAAACCCCCAAAAAAGGAATTAATGAAATTCCTTAAATGTTTTTCATAATCGGACATAACATTTGCCAGAGCAAATGTTAAAACTCACAAGTTATCACATTAGTACTTTTTAAAGCTTTAACTTGAAATGTTTAACCACATGTGTATATATATATATATATATGTTTTTTATATTTTTTCATTTGACCAAAGACAGGTAGTTAAGAAAACGTGACTCTAGAAATGCTTCTTAAAATGCTCCCTGATACCTACCTCCAGCTCGACTCTCAAACTTCAAACTGACCCATGCTCAGGCTCTTTGTGCACTACAGACAGCATGTGAGCCAATCAGAGTCCAGTCCTGATGATGACGCTCAGGTGTGGTGGGCAAGGAATCAGTGACGTAACAATGGTCCCTCTCCCTTTGCTTAGAAAGTCAGCTTCAGTCCTTTAGATGTTTTGTTCCAGGGCATCAGTTATTAAGATAGTTAACAGTGCTGAAGGGTTTGCCAAATCGTATACTGTTAAATTGTATAGAAAAACAAGACATTAAAAAATTGTTGCACTCATAACTATATTTGTATTAACTTGTGATAGGTCCTTTGGTATAATGGTTTGACCTCTGCTTTTTATACTGCTATAATAACATTTTACTTGTGCTTTTTTGAGTTGGATGTTAAAGCTGAGTTAAAGTTTAATCGGCATGAAGTAAAGGCATGTCTTTAGACAATTTAGAAAGTTTTAAATGTTTAAAATACATGCAGATTTAGAAAGTCACGTAAAAGCAACTACAATTTTGAACAAAATAATAAGAAACAAACTGGTAATTGTTCATGGGTCAATTGAAACCTTTGATTTCACGGTTATCCAGGCCAACAAATGTGATTCATGATATTATCTTTTATTTGTTTTTAAAGCACTAAATGGGCTGGCTCCGGCCTATATAGCCGAACTCCTCCAGCGCTACACCCCAGCCAGAGCTTTAAGGTCTGCTGACCAGCTGCTGCTGATAGTGCCCAAGACCAGGCTCAAAACCCGAGGGCACCAGAGCCTTTGCAGCAGCTGGCCCTAGGCTCTGGAACACTCTGCCCCTCCATGTGAGGTCGGCCCAGACCCTAGGTTTTTACTCTTAAAACACACTTCTTCTCCCTGGCCTTTTAGTCAGAGCGGAGCACGACTCCTGACTTTTCCCTGTGTTTTTTATATATCTGTTGTAATTTATTGTCTTTTATTGTGATTGTAGTAATGTGTTTTTATGTGATTGTAGTATTTATTACATGTACAGCACTTTGGCCCGACCAAAAATCGCTTTTAAATGTGCTTTATAAATAAACGTTGATTTGATTTGATTTGATAATCACGAAATATGCCTAAAACTCTTAAAATGGTAATAAAACTTACTGGAATTATTTAACATTACTTTAGGTTAAAACAATGTGTTATTTCATCACTAATAGGGAACATCTTATATGGAAATCATAAGGACTTACTACTCCTTTCATTCATTTATTAAAACAAAGTCAATTTAATTTAAGATCTTACTATTTTGACCAGTCTCACAGCAGAGCACAGGTGTGAATGACAGAATGAACGATGCTTCTGATTCAGGTCCTTTTGCAGGCTTGCACACTAAAATAAAGCAGAGCCATCGTTAATGTAATTTGTGACACCTGTGCTGCTGTAACAAAGTCTGGTCGCAGGCATTTTCCTTGAAGTAAAGTTTAAATTTGACATTGTTTATTGTTAGCGCATGAATACTTTACCTTTTTATCAGGCATTACTGTTGATGTATTGATTAGATGGAATGGAAAACCTGGTTACTGAATTGCTGCATGACTTCACTGTTCGTTTCATTTATCCAGTCCAGATGGTGAGGCTACAAAAGCGTATGAATCTAAGAAAGTTCAGGTATATTAAACATTAAACCTTTTACTGAGACTGTGAACTCATACTGAACCTCGAATGAAATGGTTGCATTTTAAATAAAGCCCCTTAGTAATATTGGGATCAAGCATAAATATTCGATTTAATTTTAAATGTATTTGTGTATTTTTTTAACTTTTGAAGTTATGGGGATAATGATTCAGTATCTCTATTTCATCAAGATATATATTATTATGACATAAACTTCTTTGTTAAGCGCTTAAGTTATAAATTCCCACACGGTGGACACGATATGCCAAATCATAGAATTACACAACTGTGTACATGAATTTAAAAATAAAACACATATTTTCTTACCCAATGCAGAAATGGATTTCACTCGTCCGTTTTAGGTTTTCAATTGAATCTCATGATTTAAAATCTCATCATCTGTTGCTTACACAGGGTGGATATGTTCCTCCCTTCATTTCATGTTTGAGGGAATCATTTACAAAACAAAATGTTCCTCTTAGTTATTTGGTTAGGATATAATCTACATCTTTAGTCAATTGTTAATCTAAAAACCAAGAGGACACTGTGTTATCTTGTCAGTGTGATGCAGTGTTCAGAAGTCTCCACTGGAGGGAGACTATCACCTTACTGATCTTCACACATGCTCTCTCTCTGCAGGCTGTACAGAAAACACTCTGCTGTTGCATCACTTCACTCCCTCCCTCCTGCCTTATGACGTGTTCAATGTTGAAATAGAAGTTGTTCCATTGATCGTTTTTGTGTTTCTTTTTTTTATGTTTTGTTGAACTGCAACAAATACAATATCAAGGAAAGAATGGGGAGACCCTCATTAAACCTAAAATATAAATATTGATTTGATAATTGGTTAGGCGTTTCAACTACTAATAAAATAAAAATAACAAATAGAATCTGGTTACGGTTACACAATGTATCACAACATGGCTTCTCTATGATTTCAGATAATTAATAAAGTAAGTATTTTTGAGTTTTGGACTGCTGTTCAGACTGAAATACAAAACCCCAGGCTCTAAACATGTGATTGGCATTTGCTTGTTTTTTATACAGGAAAAGATACAATACATCAAATAATCCCTATTTTCGTTGTCATAGATCACACAAAGTATTGATGCCGTGTCCTTTGCTCGTGGTATTTTCTTTAGGGTCTTTGTTCATCACTTAAATGTAGCCTATTACTAGACTCAGCTTCTGTTTGTCTATCTTAAGTAATACCAGTAGGCTACTGTCTCTTCATAGACATTATTCAAGTTGATATAAACAGGAAGACAAATCCTGACTTGCAGTGGTGTTGAAACGACGCACTGGCATTTAGCTAATTCAGCAGAAGTCATTTTGTATTTCCAGGCGGATCATGAGGTGGCACATGGGAGCTGCAGGCTGCTCCCGTCTCATTCCAGTGTGAGGAGACAACTGAGCTCATATTGACCAACCAACATTTAACAGCCAAGGACACATTACATTACATGTTAGACGCTTTTATCCAAAGCGACTTACATACAACACATGTGAGATATCAGAGAGTGCTGCTGATTAGATTATTTACAGTCAGAGGAAACAGCCTCAACCTTGACCAAAAGATAAACTGCTAAACTGTTCATATGAAACTAGTGATAGAGAAAGTACAGTTGTTTTTCACTTCAGCCCTTTAAGTAAAAACAAAGACAACACAGTAATCAGACAAACACGGGAGTAGTTTAAAGCATTTTATTGCAATTTTCTTTTTTTAGAAAAACAATACAAAATTCTGTAGCAACGGTCATAAATGTTACCTTGAGTGAACTGCAATCATTCACATGGTACAGTAAAGTGCTTATTTTAACTCAAAAATATGTTTCGTATTTGAAAGGATGTATTTATTTCAAATATCTTTTCATGGACACGACGGTCTTTGTGCATTCAGTGTTAAAAAACAGATGTCAACTCAATAGAAAATAAAAGATTGAGGACTGAATCCACGTATTGATGGACTGTCGATTTGAAGGAATGACTGAATTTTAACACATCCTTACTTCAAAATGACAATGAAAAAATTGCGAGGCTTAATGTTGTCCTATTTGCCCCACCCCCCAATAAAAGGCACTCCAAAAAGCTACTG